CAGCTACTTGGGAGGCTGAGAAAGGAGACTCGCTTGAGCCCAGGAGTTGGAGGTTGCTGTGAGCTGTGATGCTATGGCACTCTACCGAGGGGGACAGCTTGAGGCTCTGTCTCAAAAAAAAAAAAAAAGGCTCTGAGACCTGACTGACATTCATAAAGTATTTCTTCCATTTGAATTAGGATCGGAAAAGTGTGATATATTTAAATATACTGTGACACTTTTTTTTTTTCTAGAGAGATAGTCTCACTTTATCACCCTTGGTAGGGTGCCGGGGCATCGCAGCTCACAGCAACCTCCAACTCCTGGGCTTAGGTGATTCTCTTGCCTCAGCCTCCTGAGTAGTTGGGACTACAGGCACCTGAGACAATGCCTGGCTATTTTTAGTTTGCAGTTTGGCTGGGGCCAGGTTTGAACCCGCCACCCTCAGTATATAGGGCCACTGCCCTACTCACTGAGCCTCAGGCATCACCAGATATTTTCACAGTGTTAACATATGTAGTATATCTTCATGAACTGAAGATATGAACTTATGTACTGAAATGAGTGCTGGTTATAGGATTGGACACTTCTCATCTGTAGGGAATTTCTGTGTTATAAATTTTTTATTTATACAATGGTATAAGGATTAAACAGCTATCAATCTTTTCATATTTGTAGAGTTTTTCTTCAACATGAATTCTGTTGTGTATAGAAAACAGTGCCTACTGCAATGAGGCTTTGCCACATCTTCACATTGTTCCCATTTTTCCTGCTATGATTTCTCTTATGTTTGATAAGACTGGGGACCACTGAAAATCTTTGCCACATTATTCACATTTGTAAGATTTCTCTCCAATGTGAATGTTCTTATGTTTAGTAAGGTTTGCGCTCTGGTTAAAGTCATTGCCACACTGTTCACAATTGTAGGGTTTCTCTCCAGTTTGAATTATTTTCTGCTTAGCATGCTATGAACACGAGGTAAAAGCACTGCCAGTCTCTATATGAGGGGGTTTCTCTCCTGTGTGATTTCTTCTATGTACAGTGAGGATTGAATTTAAGAGTTTGCCC